CGTAATGCACGCTCTATATATAATCTCATTTCCTTATTAAGTACTTACTTTAGGTTTTGTTTTTGGTTTGCCTACATGGGTCCATATGGAATTGATAAATGACAATTATACTGGGGTCGGTAACATGGAAGTTTCCAAGAAACTTTCTTCACTCACAAAGANCCTTCTCTTGTAGGACTCATAGAAAATCATTTTGCGTAATTACATTTATATATATTTTTTCTTTCTAAATCGCCATGTCAAAAGTATCCTCCCGATTTACAAGTGTTTAGAAGGAAAGTAAAATTATCATTATTGAAATACCCCCTATACATGCGGAAGCCGGTTATGTCCGTTTATAACATCACCCTTGTTTAATATAAACCGTATCAGTTGTTCGTCCATTTTAACTTCAAGCTAATCGATAGAATAAAACATAACCGAATGTTTGCGATTGTGTTTCATATTTTCCCTATTTTAATTCTATTTGTAATTATATATACTCAATGATGTTTTAACTATTAAACGTCTAACAACAAAATTACATGATTGATATAATCCCTAAGCGTATATGCATGATTTAGATTCCAAGTGATCTAGATTGAGATTGAAAAATGTCAATTATAAGTTATAACCCTCTGAAATTGGAGTCGGTGTTGTGGAAATTGTAATTTGAAAGATTCCAAGAAGCTTTNCTCACAACGATCTCTTCTCTTGTTGGACTCTCAGAAAACAAACAAATCATTTTGCTTAATTACNTTAAAATCTTTCTATTTTGATTTTACATGTGATGTGTACTAATATGTTTCCTAAAGAAGAGAATAAAACCGGTGATGGAAACATATTTTCGAAGTTTTTTTTTTACATGGTTCCGCATGCTCAAATCCGCTAAATATTGTTGAATAGTGATTTGCTAATGCATCACTCTCTTAGGTTTATCGCTTGATTTTTGTAAACAAAACTTTTGTAAATCCCATGGTCTCTCAATTTCACATGGTTCTATACCTACCTTCACTGTGAAGGGTAAAGAGAGGTCATCAAGCCCTTCCATGCCATGGATTCATCAAATCCAAGATGGAAATACCACTACAAGAAAACGGGCTAATTTTCCACGGCACTTCGGACAGATATGTATCCGTTGGAATTGGACGGATTTTGGACCGACTTATATCGTTGGTTTTCAATCTGATGAATGTATTTTCACAATTCTAATTCTCTCTCGTTCCAACCTTGAGAAAATCTGAAATATATCACAATACGGCATCTTTGTCATTTTTCCTAACCCCGAAAAAACTGAACTGAATCTTGTTTATAAATATATATCACAATTGTTCATCCATCTTAATATTTTTGTTTAAACTTTTTTGATTTCATATTTTCACTACTCTTATTTTACTAGTGATATATGAAATGGACCTTACACTTTAATTAACACAAAGCACAATATCAAACCGGTGACGACTGAGGTAAACCGGCGCCGGACTCGGAGTAAAAGAGCTTGATTGCGTTGAACGTGTCGTAAGCTACGAGTGAGAGCCAAAGAAACCAAAGAAGAAGAAGGACGAAAGCAAACGTGGTGCAAAAGACAGAGACGAGCACGAGAGCCGCTAGAGCGCCGAACATATGGCTCGTGTGTCCGACGAGCTTCGGGACTAACCCGGGTCGTAGCCGCGTGTCTACGGCTTCTCGGACTCGAAGAACGACATAGAAGAAAACAAAGATATAAAAACAGAGGAACTCTGTTTTGTTTATTTCCAAAAGAGAGGAGTTCTGTTTGTTCATGAGCTGAACTAATCCTATAATTCCGGCGTTTACCATAACGACGACTTTGTGGACTGCGGCGGAGTATACGGTGAACTTCTCCGTTTCATCACTGGAGATTGGGAGTGTTTGGTTAACGGCGGAGACAGATTCCATCTTTTTGATATTCTATGTTTTATACTTTTTTTTATATTGTTGGTATTTCTTCTCTATATGATCTATATAAACTATAATCCATGCAAGTTTTTATGAGAGGTGTTTGAGAACATGCACCGAATTTTTTTTTTTAATGATAAATAGAAGAATTTTTCTCCGAGGCGCGTTTCCCGGGGTTTTAGAACCAAAGCTGACGGGAAATGACGTTTACTGCCCCTTGAGGTTCTCACGTGCAATGTAATAAAAAGCTCAACGACTTATAAACTCTTAATTAGCAACGGAGGTTCTCACGGTATCTAAATCTCCTATAAAGTAAGATAAACTAATAATAAAAATATTTAAAGTTTTATCTCTCTCATGGAAAATTCCTCCATGACTTTTTACTCTTCATAATCTCTAAATATATTTTAACAACTATCTCTAAATATTTAAAATATATTTTTTCAAATAAATCTTCAAAGCAGTTTTTTTCTTTCACAATATATCAAGAGGTGGAGATACAAACTTTGTTTTTTAATTTTGTGTACTTTTTA